ACCACAGATTTCTCACCAATTGAGCTGAGTGTGCATTTGATGACCGGTCGTAGCCTCGGTACCACTCACAACGCAATGCGGTGCCACCTCAGCTTAATGCCACATCAGCATGCTCTCATCACCAATCATACATTCCGCTGTAATCACGACACTCGATGCCGCACAGCCTTCAGGCGCACACCTCTTTACCCAGGTCGTGCGCCTAATGTTGGCCTGACGTCACAAGAACCAACTGCGAAGAAGCATCATCAACGCACCAAGTCTGTATAATGCCAGCGCACCAAGGTAAGTGGCGAATCGAACCAGCTCCGATACCAAAATGCAAGGAACATGAATGTGGACGAAGCACAAAAATCCAGATTGCAAAATCACACTGAAGTCCAAGTAGTCAAAGCAAGAGCAGATAGCACAATGGAACCGAGTAACCATCCATTTGAGAACGATATAGAAGAATCGTGAGTCAATGTCCAAGCCCAATCGGGCAACACCAACAGCATAACCCAATGTAGCTCTCTCTCTTGAATGACGCCAGGCGCCCTATCTACTCTACAGCCTATCACTACAACTAAAGCATGAAAGCAACCAGACAACTTGACGACCAGCGAGTGATGATGTCAACACCAATGCCGACCTCCCATCTCCACCAGGTACGTCTCTCACTTCTCCCTCACTCTCCCTTGTTATCCCACACAGCGCCCTTCACCTCTGAAGAACCACCTTCGCCCTTCCTCTGCGCCCTCAGGCAGCCCGGCTATGGCCACCAGCGCCCTGCGCCCAGGCAGCGCTCTACCGCTTAGTGCTTGCCTGCCTCTACCTCAGCCTAGCGCAGCCCAGCACAGCGCAGCACCTCACATTTGCGCAGCGTGCCGGCATTTCCCGCAATGGCCAAGATCCCTGCCCACTCGCCTGCCATTGTTGCATGTGGGCGACCTCCCTTGAGCCTGTGCCTGGGCCCCAGTTCCTGAACCCAGGCCCGATGCAGTTGGGGGGGCCCAGGAGATGCAGTTGCGCCTCTTTCATCAAGGCCTGCGGCCAGATTCAGATAGTGGACCAGTTTCCCATTGGCATTTTCGGCCTCTATATCCAGCATGCATTGTCGGCCTCACGTTTATGTGCCCAGGGCCTAACCAACTCTGGGGCCCTGGGTTTCTGCATTTGCAGGGCTCCGATACTCGGTGCACTCCAACCAACTGGCGTGCTGCAACTGTATGGACCCCACTTCATGAAATGTTTGCACAGAGGGCTCTTGTTGATTTGCTGGCCCGTCTTCACTTAGGGCGGGCACGAGGCTTGCTGGGGCCTTAGCCCAAAACATGTACATCATGGCAAGGCCCCTTCTTGAGAGCTCAATCCTCACACCAGACTGTCATTCAACTATTGCGCGCGTTAATTGTTCCGGATCAGAACACGTGGGACGGGGAGTTACACAAAGTGAAAGGTTGTACAACAACTCCATTCACTTTGCAACTGGCGTGACACCGAATCAGCTGCAATATGGTTGGCAGTTGCGCAATCCTCTCTCCTATTTGTTCCCCGAATGGTCCCCTGGTTTGACGCCCGGCATGCCTGCCTACAATGCCAAGTATGCACGCCTGCTCAAAGCGGCTATCGCAGCAATGAACAAGCGTCAGCATGCCATGATCAAAGATGCTAACAAGTCGCGCAAAGAAGGGAACTTCAAAGTAGGGAGTTATGTCTGGGTCAAAATGTCTGAGTTTTCTGACGAAGAGGGCGTATCACGAAAGCTTCTTCCATAGTACTATAGCCCTTGGCAGTTTCTTAAGGTGATTGGGGATGAATTTGGTCCATCGTATGTGATTGACGTGCCTCCTCGTCTGCGCACATATCCGGTCTTTCACGTGTCCAAACTGTTTCCACACATCGATGATGAGACTTTTCCCTTCCGAGATCCTATGATACCTCGTCCTATCGATGTCGGCCATAAGATAGACAGAATCGTTTCCCATGAAGGAAGAGGGAGGAACAGACAGTACAAGGTTCATTTCCTCTATCACCCGTTGAACGAGTTTTTCTGGATCGACCGGAAAGAGCTGCTAAAGAATGCTCCACGAGTGGTTAACGCCTATGAGCGGAAGATCGCTGATGGACAGACTGCTAAGTTTTCTGCAAAACTCACTCCTCACGGTCTTATTAAATCCCTCTTTCTGATCTACGCCTACGATGCATTTTGTGCCGACTCTGAATGAGTTACTCGCTCGAATGGACCTCGCTCTTGAGAGAGGGGTAGTGTAATGACCCGCCAAAAACACAGACTGAGAACACTGCTGATTTCTGGGATTTGCTGCTGGAATGAAGGCCCCGCAGGGCCGGTACTTACCTGTGGCCGTGACTTTGAGGGTTGCAGCGGGGAAAACACTCAAGTTGAGGGGGTAGGCCCGCGCCACTTAGAGCAGCGGGGAATAACACTCAAGTAGCGGGTAGGCCGGTACCACTCAAGTAGTGGTAGGAGTGTCGGGTACTGGAGGCCGAGCAGAAGAAGACAAAAGTTGGCATTTTTGGAGGCCCAGTAGTGGTAGGATAGAGGTAGGCCGGTACCAGTCCAAGTAGCCCGGGTCTAGGGCCTGTCCGGACGATAGCAGAACTCTGCTGTGATTTCCATGTCTGTGTGTGTGAGTGTGCCTGCTGGTTTGCATGCCTGTCTGAGTGCTTGTCGGCTGAGTGTGTGTGTGACCCGCAAGGGTGCTTGTTGGTTGAAAGGCCCCGGCTCTGCTATCGTCCGGACAGGCCCTAGGCCTGGGCTACTTGGACTGGTACCGGCCTACCTCTATCCTACCGCTATGATGTTTCCCTTCGAAAGGGAGGAGGTACCGGTTGCTGGGAGGCCGTTCAGCCTAGGAAGTCACCGCCCAAGAGGCCAGTAGGCCGCGATATCTTCCGGAGGAGCAAGTAGCTCCTCCTCATTTGCGGTATGCAAGGATTGGTGACATGCTGCTGGAGCACAACGCTGGACTGGTACAACCCTGCCTGGAGGTGAAGGGCAGCTGGCACTCAGCCTGGCTATCAAATTCCCCCGTTTGCTGCTGGACTTTGCGCCGCGAAGTTGTGTGGTAGTGGATGGCGCCGCGTCGCAATTGCGTCGCGAGTGTTGACACGACTTGCGGAGGATTTGCGGTGTAAGGAGATTACCCGCGAGTGTCAGGCCTCTGATGAGCCGGTGAAATTCCGGCGAAACACTCATTGCTCTTGTTTGGGTTAGGCAGTAGGAGACTCGTGTGTGAGTGGTAGCGCGCCAATTTTTTGGTACCGGCTAACACTGACCCGGTTTAAAGCGCAGTCGTAGCTCCGACGATGTTCTTCGACGGGTCGGGAAAGGTATTTATCTAGCCAGGCTGAGTGCCAGCTGCTCTTCACCTCCAGGCAGGGTTGTACCAGTCCAGCGCTGTGCTCCAGCAGCATGTCACCAATCCTTGCATACCGCAAATGAGGAGGAGCTACTTGCTCCTCCGGAAGATATAGCGGCCAGCCCAGCCTGAGGAGGAGGAAGAAGGGGGCGAAGGAGGAGAGTGGCGAGGCACCTACCTGGCTATGGTGGACACCATCTTCTTCACCTTGTTGGTTGCTGCATGTTGAAGGCCCCAGTTGGGGTAGTGCCGCACCAAGGAAGCTCGAGGCAGAGTCAGGCATGGCGGCTTAGTCAGCAGCGGCATAGCTGCTTTGGGTTGTCCTCTGGACAGGAGTGAGGCACCATAGCTGCTTTGGGTTGTCCTTTGGACAGGAGGGCAGGGCCCTCAGTAGTCCGCCACAGCCTAGACATGTGAGAGGAGGAAAAAGGAGGGAAGCCATAGCTATGGTGGAATTGTTGTTGTTGTTGTTGTTGAGTCAGCAGCAAGAGGGAACTTAGGATATTGATTCTGGTTCATCCACTCATTGTTATTATTATTATTGGGAGAAGAATAAGATTGGCGAAGTGAAGGAGGAGGAGGAAGGTGGAGAGAGAAGGGGGAATTGTCATTGATCTTGCTGGTGTACATCTTCTTCTTCTTCTTCTTCTTCTTTCTCTCCTCTCTGATATCTATCTCTTTGCAAGTGCTTTCCTTTTTCTTTCGCAATTGGGTGGCATTGTCTTTCATTGTGAATTTGCACTTTGGGAATGACCAGGATCGTAACATCTACTTCTTCTTCCCTTGTCTCTTTCTTCTTTCGTTCTATTTATTTTGAGTTGCAATTTAATGGTATTGTCACTTCGTGAGTTTGGCATTATTAGATGGCTGGGAGGTGATGGCTTGTCCCATTCAAAGTGGAGCAGGTTTTGCAGAGGTTGTTTGGGGCGGATCGGGAATGATACAGCAAGGACCAGGTCTGGTGGAGATGTTGATGGCTGCTTTGTTTGGAGTTTTGGACCAGGGTTTTTTTCCAGGCCCTCGAGCACAAGTTGACACACACCCGGTGCCAGGCTGGGCGTGACCTGCGGGGAAGGTTCCTGGCAGTTCCAGCACAGAAAAAAGAAGTGAGAAAATTTTGATAAAAAAATGTTGTGTAGAATTGCAATGCAAACCACTTTTTCCTGAGGGTCCTATCAGAATTCCTCACTGAGTTGAAGATAGGAAAGAAAATGACAGGATCAGACTAAGGCATCCCTCTTTAAGTCCTTTTAGCCACTTTAAAACCAGTTTATACCCCCCTTTTCCCCCATTGACAGTCGACACTCAAAACAAGAAAAGGGCCCAAATTTGGGCTCGTCTGGGCGGGCATATGAGGAAACCCCCCACCAGACCACTGCCAAAACAAAAATTGAAAATTTTACCCTACTTATTCCTGCGCCTGTGTACCCTGGGCATCAGGCCCCCCCCCGGCGACACGGCGGGGTGCTCGGCTGGCGTGACAATCTTCCGAGGTTTTTGACCTTTTTCCATTCAAGCTTTCTGCTGAGGTTGGGGTGAGGCAAGTCTATCAGTGACCAAAGTCGGTGCTTCTGCCAGTGTTGCCGGGCCCTAACTTGTCGTATTTGTCTTTGGGCCCTTCGGGGTGATTTGTTGCAGGGGCTGGTCTGATCCGTTGTTCGGCATCTGTGTCGTTTTTGCCTGCGTTGTTATGTATGACGCTCAGGTAATCAAGCAGGATCTTCTTTTCCTTTTTCAACTGAATGAGATCCTTTTCCTTTCCCCCCTTTTGAAGACTAATTTATTTTTGCCAAGTCTGAGTGCAATGTAGTGCGCTAAACAAGTGCATCTTTTGATCAAAGCGTGATCTTTGTAGATTGCATGAGCTGGGGGTTGATTTTGCAAGTTATGAGTGCAATGTAGTGCGCTAAGCAAGTTATGTAGCCTTTGCAGCATCTTGCTGTCTGCCTCCCCCCCCTCCCTTTCTCCTTGCCTGTCTGTCTGTCTGTTTGTCTGTCTGTCTGTCTCTCTCCTGTGCTGTGTCCTTCTCTGTCTTGCCTCTTGCCGCCGCATCGTCTTCCTTTCAGCCGCTGTGTACTAAGTCACTGGTTACTCAAAATCATGGCTATTCTGTTGAGTTTTCCTTATTCTCCCTCTTTCTCTCCCTTGTGTTCAGTTCTCTCTCATACATTGTATTCTACCAGATATCTGTCTGCTCATTTGTCAACTACCCTAGCTTTCGAACAGATGGCCCTCGAAAATCACACATGCTTGTTGTAAATGAGTTAACCTGGGTATTTTGTTTTTTGAAATTGCAAGGAAAATGAGCAATGCGAAGTACAGAGACCAAATCGCATCATCCCGTCGAAATCCAGAAAGTTATGTGCTCAAGAGGAGCGCAGAATGCACCAAGATATACACCAAATAAGAGCAAAGCAATGAACTCAATTGACAATGTAAGTACTCATCTCGCCTCCACTGTCTGTGTTTCCAATGCCGCGCTTGTATATGGCACTCGACACCCAGGCCACGATCAGACAGTACCTAGACTAGCATAGCATTGAATCACGTCAACAGGTCAGAGGACTTTCGAAGCTGAGGGGGCGGGAGTGCAAGGCATAAGGCCCTTGGCATGGTTGAAATTGGGGCCTGCGCACGGTTGTGACTGCTTGCGTCCACCCTAAGTGAAGGCAGGCCTCGGAAATTTGGCGAGGCCTCATTAAAGATGCCGCGTGGGTGAGCTGTGCCTGCAGGTTGGTTGCTGCTCGCAGCATCTGCAACTGACCGGTAGGCCCGAATGTCGAGCCCATGGACCCTTCTAGTTTAGCCTCAGGCGCATTCTAGAAGGTCCCAGGGGCGCAGATACAGGGCCAGAGACCAAAGCCGCCGCATCCAGCCAGTATCTACACAAAGGAAGTGCAGCCAGGCACTTCCACCTTCTTGCTTGCTGGCTGGCGAGCAGGGAGGCGCTGGCGGGGCGCACGGGAAACCTGCTGGGCGCAGCAACGCTAAACGGCTGCCATAGATGGGCCGCTGCCTGTAGGGGCCAGAAGGAGGTAGAGCGGAGGTCCAGGGAGAGGGCGCTATGGTTGCTCCGTCCAAAGTCTTCATTCGTCGTCTGGCAGCTGCACTTTCATCAGCTCCTTTCTTCCATCTTTCTTCTTCAGGATTCACATGGTGCCTGAATCTCTGCCAACAGGCTTAGGAACAGGGATTAAGTTGTGGTGCATGATCTGGTCAATCCATGGTTGGGGGCAGCATTAACCTTCTTGAAGGAAAATGATGAATCTGAGCAGAACGAATAAGTTTAGAGGCATGGAAGACTGGGTAAGTGTGTACATTCGGGGTTACACGGATCACATAGGAAAGACCATCAGGATCAGATCCCATGATGTCAAGGGTTTCCCATGGTTCGAAGTACTGCGGCATTAGCTTGCGTGAGATGTCCATTTCGGCTGTGAACTCTGATGACTTGACCCATACCTTTCCCCCACTTGAAACTTTGACTCTCTTCTATGTCTGTTCTCAGATGCAATCATTGCATTCTGAGATTTCTGAATTTGCTCAGTGGTCTGCTGCAACATATATCCGTAGTCTATGCTGAACTCGATGCTGCAGGGTGGAGCAGTCGGCCCAGATTCAGACAGAAGGAAGTCTAACAGTGTCCTGGGCTTCCATCCAAGCTGCAGCTGATTCAGTGTCCGAGAAGTTGTACTATGCACAATATCATTGTATAACCTCAGGATGAGAGGAAGCCTCACATCTATGTCATCTTCGTGTGGGTTTATGTAATGCCTCAGCAAGTGCTGGACCACCCGATTCATCTGTCCAGCCTGTCCGTTAGCCATGGGAAGGGTCCAGGTGTCATTTACAGCTGGGAACGCATCTGTTCCCCAGTCTTTTTCCACAGTTCACTCGTGAATCTGACATCTGGGTCGCTCACTATGGACTTAGCCGTCCGCGCAAGCGCAGCTAACCTAGCATACTTAGGAAATCTGTCTTCGATTACAAAAATGTGCCTCTTCCCAGACCTGCTGGTCACGAGGGCGTCCGTGAAGTCTATGGACAAACTCTCTTCAAGTCCTGCAGGAATGGGCAGAGGTTGGAGAAGACCAAGCGGTGCTTGAGTCCTAAGTTTCTCTTTGACAAACCTGCGATGTCCCAACGTTTTTCTTTGCATCCTCAAATATCGTAGCCCATAAAAATATCTGAACTAAGTTTACAGATGCCTTTTTGTAACGGAATTGACCTGTTGCTCTCTCCTAGAAACAAATAAACAAAGACTCGCTACTAGGGGCACAAAGGTTTGTTCCCAGCTTTATCAAGGACAAGCAAGCCATTGACCATCACAAACTCGTCAGACGTGGCCTTGTCGTTCACCTCTAGCCTGTGGATGATTTCTGATTTGAATTTGTCCTCGGTGTAGGCATGTACCATATATCTGGAGATACATCATCAGATAAGCTGAATTTAGTAATCAGCGCTCCTAGGTATTCAGATCTCTGCGAAAGCGAAACTCACCTTTGACATGCGAGAGGCAGAAGTTGTACTTATCAATGATTTGGATCCACCTCTTCAGCGTGTGACAGAGAGCAGGTTGAGTCTTGATCCATTGGAGACTTCGATGGTCAGATCTCACTTCAAGTTGGGGGTTCTTAGACAATGGGCCTTTGAACCAAGCCAATGACCGCATCGGAGGGACACTTGTCGAGGACGAAGACACTCAACGCGTGTGACGGTGCGATGTTTGTCAAAGGAGACGCGCACACCTTTGACAACATGTGTTGAGGTGACAACCTCTTGGTTGCCTGTCTGGGTTCGACAAGGGTTCTGCAGTTCCACTTTCTCCATTCCCAAGCCCGCCTTATGAATCCCGTTAGGAGAAAAGTTAGTTGTGGAGCCATTATCAATCAAAACACGGATGTATCTGCAATCCCCTTGAACACGGCGCTGCTGCTTGAGCTGCAGCTAATGTTCCAGGTGAGAATGAACGTCGACTTCCTTAGTCTCCTCCCAAGGGTCGGTGTTAAGTACTCAGACTGCAGCAGCCTTTGGATTCAGCATCGGTTTGGGCTTCAAGAGAAGGCAGTTGGTCAGATTTAGGTTCCTTGGAGGAGCGTGCAACTGACTGATCAACTTCTCCTATTGTAGAGAGTTTTGATAACTCTTCTACGCCCTTTGCCTGTTTCCCTACCAATGGTAACAATCCTACTCAACGTGCCCAGGCTTTTGACAATGCAGGCACACATGCAGTTTGGATCTATTTTCCCATCCTTTTGGCTAATGCGGAGGGTTTCCCAAGGCTTGGAGGAGCGTCCTCCGACTTCTCAGGAATATTTGCATTCTTGGGGAGGTGAGTTATGGTTCCCTTACTCGAACTGCGGTTAGGCCCCTTGCCTGAAGCAGTCTTTCAAAAGGCATTAAGCTTCTCTTCTTCATTCATATGAGACTCAAGGGTTGCTGTAGAACAACCTGCATCGGAGTCCGGCTTTAGATCGTCATATTGAGTTAGATCATCCGTATAGGGCTGTTCCTCAGCCTCCCGATGTTCATGCAGTGAAAGCAGGTTTCTGCTTCCAGACCGCTTGCGTCAGAAAGATTTTCCTGCACCTGGTGTCTTTGCATACCTGGCGAGGTCTTTGGCCTCTAGATTGACTAGATCCATTAAGAGCTCATGCCAAGTCGAATGTTCCTCGAGTGCTAGCCAAGAGACATATTCTTCAGGAGCCACTCCCATGACTACATCCATGCAAGACACGTTGAGTAGTGAACAAACCAGTCAAATGTTGTTTCAAAGCCGGCATGAAAGTCCTCTACTTTTGGCCTCTGAGTGAGACACAACTGATTATGAGTTTTTCCAATGGAATGTATGCCTTGCCGAGTTTCCCGCTTGTTGCTAAGATTTCTAAGTCTGAGTGTGTGCGTGCTTGCTGTTCTGTGAGCCTGTCTGAGTGCTCGACGGTTTGAGTGTGTGAGTGACCCGCAAGGGTACTTGTCCGTGCGGAAGGCCTAAAGGGCCGGTACTTACCTGTGGCCGTTGTTGAGCGCATCGACTCCCGCTTTTTTTCGCAAAAGGCGAGAGCCCCCCCGACCATGTCACGCAGGAGTCGTACAAAATCAAACAAACTAAAACACCATCCTGCAAACCGCCTTGACGGACGCGGTAATGTTGTCCTCTCGCCGCTCTAGCCGAGTGCGCCAGCCGTACTTCCAGCGGTTTCCTATGACAGGACAGGTTCCCGCGGGGCACAACTCACCTTCCTCAAGGGGTTGTCACCACCCTTAGGGCCGTATCCCTACCGACCTATTGATCCATGTGCGAAAGCTTTCATATGCAATCGCAAAGGTAGATCAGCCGAGGGCGTTTGCTCGATTCGCTGCAGTATAGAAAACGCTTAAACGCCAAGTGGACGCGGACGTCGTCCGTCCCTTAGGGCGCTGATCTCCTAAGTACGAAACAGTAGCCGGTCCACTAGGACGGTCCCAACCAAATGTGAAACCCACAAAATAATCCTCCCTTAGACACTAGTCGAAGAAAGTGATAACAACTGCACTCAGCTGCATCACCGAATTAATCATAGCCAATAGGCATGTATATATGATTTAACATAAGTTGAAACGATAACTGAAAGAACCCGAGCACCACGTGGTAAAACCAATAACACATGTTCGAAATAAAACTCGACTACCTCAGGTCGAACTCGAAAAAAAAAACATTATAGTGAG